TAACATAATAACAGCGATCTACACTGAAAAAAAATTCTGGGTATGAAAAAACCTATGAGATGCATTTAGAAATGCATTTTATGAAATATTTAATTTTTATCATCAAGTATAATAATAATAACAAAATATTTATTAATAGTTATAAACATTTTCAAAAAATTATAACTATTAAGTTAGAAACATTTTACGTTGAGTCCACTAAATGTTAAAATTAATTAAATTATTTTGTCTTAATCACCTTTACGTTTAATTGAAACTATTTCATCACAGCAGTGGATAACATTTATCACAAGTTTGAGTTATTATAATCAATTGTAACCAATCTCTTTTTTTTCAGTCTAGGAAATATTGGCATTAACTTGTCAAAAATGTATCTTAACGGCATATAATTTCATAGTTTTTGTATTTGGTGTACAATGTAATGGACATACTTTTTCTTTTCATATAATTACAATACATAATTTGATATAATTTTATTCAATATTGGAATTATTGAGATTAGATAAAGTAAAATTAATGTAAAACTCCTGATTTTTTTTATATAGTCGTTTTAAATTAAATTATACATATATGACTCTATAAAAAACTATGACTTCTACAAAAAAATTACTTTTTCGTTTCTTTACTGATAACTTTATAATATTTTATAATGATAAATAGAATCTGAAAAGCTTTGAAATTTCGGGGACATACTATTCTCCAATTATTATTAAGTTTTTGGTTGTCAGGGTTGGTGACACACCAATCTGTAATTGAATTTTCGCGGAAGCCTTTCATATAGGGATACATTGGCTTATACTTCTACATATTCTGTGTCTGCTGCCGTGTCGTGCAGGACTAATTAGCTATTGTGTGACATCGCCTTTGATCCTCTAAATTAATAATGGCACTATCTCCACAGAAAATTCAATTCGGCGCCCGCTCTTGATATTTTTAGCGTATAATTTTTCCTTTAAAATATCCAAAAAATTTTTATACATTTTATTTGCGTATTGTTCTACATTTGTGATCAACGATTATTATTCGGAAAATAAAAATATCAAATATTAATTAAAACAGCATGATAACAAACCTGTAACACATATAAGAAATTTTCAAAAAAAAGATATAAAAAAATTGAAAATTACAAATGTATATAAATAAATAATAGTACTAATATATTTGTAATTATTGAATATTATTTAATTTTATATTTATTTTCTCCCTCTCTCTCTCTCATTAATGTTATTAATCAATTCATTTATAATATTATAACAAAATATATATTTTTTTAATTATGTACTTTTGTATTGTTTATATATATTTATTAAAAACTTATAGTTTTTAATGTTAATAAAAGAATAATAAGAAAAGTAAATTTGTTTTAATATGCCATTCGAAATATTATCAGATAATTATTCGCGTTTACATTGGAAAAAATTATATATATGTAAATAAATTGTATCAATAAATGTATTGAATTTTTAGCTTTTTTCATTTTTCTATCACGCGTGTGCACATATTGTCTTTCCAATTACTTTTATTATTGCTTCGCGTTTTTATTTGATTTTATTATTGCCTGACAATAATATAGTATCACTGTTATCTTTGATTGTTACGTTTTATATGTCGTTCATGACAGACGTTTCTGTAACACAAGAATTGATGAGAAAGATAGAGTGGACACATGATAGCAATACCGGTGATATCAGCGAGAGGTGTAAACCGGAAAGGTGTAAACACAATTCATTTCTAACGAGTTTTCTCGCCCTAGTGATCTTTTTGAAATTTCACAAGAAAATTCCTTTTAATAAAAATTTATTTTAATCTCTTTTTTTCTCCATTTCTCTCTCTCTTTCTTTTTACACTGGACAGAAAAAAAGTTCTATGTATATTGGCCAAGATAGATATCTGAATATTTTTAAATAATTAAAATAATTAAAGACTAATATAAAAAAAATAAATATGTTTCTCTTAAAGTATCTAGTAAATTCACAAAATATTTATTACAAAAAGATTTCTCAAAAGACATTCTCTTATCTTTTCTCGAATGAAAAGAAAAATCATTAGGTATATTCAATATATTAAATCTGCTTTTTAAAAAAATATATAATTATATTAATTAAGTTCAAAATTATTTCTGAAATATATCGCCCACATCATCTATAATATTTTTTACATTGTAAACATTGTCTAAATGAACTTCATGGGATTAAAATATAAAAATCCTCATCTCAAAATTGCATTTTCATTTTTTTTTAAATATCGGAATATCATAAGTAACAAACAGCGTCATATAAAATTCTACAAGATAGTAGTGATAAATACAAAATAATCTTATGACAATCTAGTAAAAAATTTATGATCTTAATAAAAATTTTATGAATTTAATATCTTTATCATCTACAGTAAAATTAGATAAATTAAATAAACGCTACCTTTAAAATGTCTCATCGTCAGCTTAATGTCAAAATTGTCTAATCAAAAAATCGAAATAATTTGTTATTATTCTACCTATTAATACTGAAAATATCTTATGTAAAAATTCTTTCAAAAAATAATACTATTAAAAAAAAGAATTTTGTAATTACTTTTAATTTAAAAAATTAATAATTTTATTTAGCAAATTCTAAATAAAATTATTTAGATTTAATATGCAAAACAATACAATTGAAATATATTTTAAACTACAATGCATTAATTTAAAATGACATATAAAAGTATCTATGTGTATAATCTAGAATATTATAAAATTATGTAATTGAAGAATTATTAACGCGACTATGTTATGATAAATACATGCATGCAAATTTTGCTTGCTGACGGGATGGATCTCTCCCTTATCAAAAGATAAAAGCTTATGATAAGAACATTACTATTAGCATAAACACTGTAAGCTGTCGGAGGGAGACGCGTGCTTATCACGCATCGTTGGATCTCGTCGGTACGACGAACCGTAACGCATCCTATCGCATCTTGTACGCGTGAAGATGGAAGTCTTAGGAAATGAACGTCTAGTAATAGCATCAGATTTTATATCGATAAAAATATCGTTTTTTAAACAATACAAGCCAAATAATGCAATGTGATATTATTTTAATTTTTCTAAAAATTATATTACATTTTTCAAATAAAGAAATGATTTGTAAGGAAATCCTTGTAGAGAAAATTCATCAAAAATTTTCTTTGAATTAAGAAAGCAAGTTATTTGAAATGTAAAAAAAAATTTTAAAAATAAAAATAAAAAAGACCATAATATACTTTACGAAATATTCCTCTAAAAAATTTCGTATGCTTCTTGGAAAGCCAATCAAAGACACAAATAATTAAAAAACTTCGAAAAAAAAGTTTTTCGCAAAGTCAATTTCAACTTTTTAAAATATTCTGAAATCTAAACAAGAAGTTTTTTCACGAGAACCGTCGTCACTTTTGCTGGTCTGGCAACCGAATTTTATATCTTAATATAAATGATAGCGCTGTACGCAAAATAAGATCGTTCATCATCAGTAAAGACTAACCCAACGACAGGAGAGGAAAAAGAAAGAAAATAGAGTGAGAAATAGAGGACAAAAAATGATCCAACCATTGCTCCACCGTCCGCTCCTGTTCCCTATTTTTCATCGTCCAACCTCGACGATGCTCTCCCGACTGTTCTTTCATTTATGCCAGAGATACAAGAGACTCCTTTTTTTCTCTCTCTTCTCTATTCTCTCATTTCATTATCTTTCTGTTCATTCTTGATCTTTATTTTCTTTCATCATTTCTCACCTATATATAAAACGGTGACTTTATTATTATTAGAAGATATTTGTTTAAATGTTTATAATTCACTTAATTATATGAAAATTTCAGCAATATCTTTCTTTCATATTTCCTTCATTAATTTTTATTTATTATAAGAATTGTTATTAAATGTCTCTTGTAATGTCTCTGAAATTTAAACAAAAGATAAAATATTGGAAAAGAAAAAAATACAAATCGACGCAAATATATAATATGACTTATAAATATTAAATATTAAATATAATTAGACGTTAAAATTATATAAACAGGTTTCTACTTTGACTTTGTGCATGTGTACACATATATGTATATATGCATATAATACTGCATCGTTTTGCAGACATCGTGAGAAATTCATTTTTATAAATCAATACAAAAATAAATTCTTAAATTTAGATTATAATATATCGCACATTTTTCACTCTTGATGATATTTTACATGTACAAATATTTGTACATAACTTATCAAATATGTGTCACACATTTGTTTTTATTTTATACTTTAATTATTTCACACTTCAACTATTTCTTCAGCAATTTTCACGATGTCTCTATCTCAACCGATGCATCTTTCATTAAAATAAATGAAATAATAGAGATAAATTATTTTTTAATTCCAATCTTTAAATAATTAGTCGTTCATTTAGCTGCTTTCTGCAATGAATATGTGTTAAAAGAATCTAGGGCAGAAATTACTTTTGTTTATACTAGATAAATTTATAATTAATAGATTTAATGTTTCAATCTCAAATCGAAATACCACCGTTTGCGTGATACATTTTTTTATAAATCTTCTGAATTTCATGACAATTGTTTTATACATATTGTTTTTGCATAAAAAATCGCATACACACAACCATTATACATGTTGTATACTTATCTATAGAGGTAAATGGAGAAATGATATATATCGCTGAGAGGGAAGATATTAACGCGTGATTATTACTCGAATGTGAATACAAAACAAGTGGTTTTCGCGAACGCGCAATAAAAATTGTTTGACCGAAGTAATAATAACGCTGTTATTTCTTTTTCTCGCTAAATTTATACTATATCTACAAGTCACGCTTCGTGCATATTAAGACGAACGGTGCAATTCATAAAAATAATAAAAGTAACTCTCTCTCACCAACATGGTATTATTTCCATTATACAATCTTGTATCGTCTTTCTCCCTCTCCCTTCTTCCCTTCTCTCCTCTCTCATCTCTAAATATACATAAGTCAAATTATGTATATAGGATTTTAATTGTATAAATAACTGTAACATTTACATATATTTTATGTTTCTCAATAACATCCTCCCTTGGAATAGATAAATTATAACAGCTAAGAGTACAAGAATTATTATACAAATAGATTATTAAATTACAATAATTATCGTAAGAAACAATCGAAGTGCAAAAGTAATATGTTGCACTTCAAAATATTCACATTTACATCAGATCGTTGTAGCTTCATCGTCGCTCTATTATGACAACGTCATATTTGATAAGTCAAATCCAGTCATCGTCAAAGTATTAAAGCAAAAAACATAATTGTAGTTTGATAACTTTTAATTCATCCATGGTGGACAGGATGTTGGCGGCTGATATGTCTGAGAGATTGGCACCTGGTAATGCTGTACCGCTTGAGGAGAATGTTGCGACCGTGGTTGTTGATGATGGGGTGGCGGTGGTGGTGGCGGATTGCAGATCGACTGCATCAATGGATGCGCATTGTAAGGAGGCGGCTTCGTCGTATAAGGTGGCATCTGATTGTATTCGACATTTAACGATTGCTCTAACGCGGCACTCTGAGTAGGAGAACGATTACCGTCAGCGAGACCTAAGGACAGCAGCACCACGTCCTTGAAGATTTTTAAATAGAATACGTCACTGTATATCGCGTGTCAAGAATCAATATTAGATTTATATAATATTAGATTTTTGATACAGAGAAAAAAATTGATACAATCTTACAAAAACAGCGTTTAAAATTTAAAGCGTTACATGCAAATAACTATATAATTCGAGCGATAATGAATCAAATTGTTTTTACCTCTTGACCTAATCTGGGGGGGAGGCATGTTAATAGGAGGTAATCCAGGGCAGACTACAGATGGGTCTCCTTCCCTTGGAATAGGAGGTGGTCTACCCCAAGGAACTCTTACATGATGATTTTGCCATGGCGCTTGCGGTGATGGTGGAGGTGGTAGAGGTGGACCATTTCCGACAAGAATATTTCCAGATTCCGTCATTATATTCTGCTCATTTCCTGTTTGCAACATACATCATGCATACTGAAATTACTCTACAAACAAGAAATTTTTTGCAACATGATACGATATCATATGCTTGACATACCTGAAGATAGACCTGTGGGCTTTTGGTCCATGTTCCGTTTCTCACCTAAACGATTAAAATGGATGATATGATGGGAAAGATACGATATATTCTTAAGTAACTACATATACAACATATATATATATATATATATATATATATATATATATAAATGTTGCATAATATATGGTAAATTATGCGATGAAATATTGTAAAATAATAAAACTTGCTATTTCCAACACAATTAATCTTGATAATTTTAATATCTATTAATTGATTACAAACTTAAATCATAAAAGGAAATGTTTTCTAAATTTGGATGCAAATCTAATAGCAAAATAGTTGCTTAACAAGATCATATCCATATTATAAGAAGACTGCTGCCGGTTTTCTCATCTTCTGCTTGAGATCACTGTAGCATTAAAAAGAAAAGTTTAGTTCTTTAACTCCCGAAAGTCTAATCTTATAATATTAAATAAGATATTAATAGATTAGCACAATATTTCACGCCATTAACCATTGCCAAATTAGCATAGTGATTTGGCAATCGCTATTAGAGTCTGAAAGCAAGCAATGCAGTTTTTAAATTCTCATATACATTAGACTGCTTAATAAATATGATCCACTAAAAATGTGTAGCTATACAGTTATTTGCCATCTGTAAAGTAAATTTATTTATTAAAACTACATTTTTTAAATTTCTTTCACTTTTTTAGAATCACTCAGGCCACTGCAACAAGAATAACATTAAAAGTAATATTATATGATATGTATAAATTATGTAATAATTTTTCCTAAATATATATACTTTGCATATATTATATTATTTATATAAAAATAAATACATGTTTGTTCGAATGTAATATAGAACATCTTTAGTCTTCCTGGAGGGATATAATCGGATGTAGACGCAATTATTATTGGATGTAGATGTTAACCTAAAGAATATAAAAGTCCAAGATTGAACTTAAAATAGTAATATCAAAAATATGTAACATATATTTCTCAACTGAATCCTAATAACAATAAGCATGGTTAATACTGGATAAACAAACACTGGAATGGAAAATCACAGGTTACACTTGCACATCTGAAAATGCAGATTTGTTAAAAAAGACATTATAAAAAAAGCATTAAAATCAATATAAGCACTTTCACGATTGTATAACACGTGCAGTGCTTTTTTATCTGATCTAAAATAATAATAATAAATAAATTTGAAGATAATTATATATTCCAAAGCATTCTATGCAGTATCAGATTGTAATCCATATTATTTCCGGATGTCCGACCCTGAAGGTATCCTCAATAAATGCATAAAAAAGCAGTTTGCTAAGACGAAAATTAAAATATCAAAAAAGTATATATATATATATATATATATATATATATATATATATATATATATGTGTGTATATATGTATATATGTACGTATTATATTGCACTTAACACAAAATATTATTTACATTAATAATACACTATGATCTAAGAGTATTAAGAAACCAATGCTAGATATCTATCCAAAACATACTTTACTTCTAAAATAAATGATTATTTCCAAACTGCATCCACATGAGTGGCACATTGTGGTTATATGTATGATAAAAAATATCATTACCAACAACAAAGTTGTATTCAAGAAGAAATCCGGAATCTAATTAAAGCGATTAAAAAATTGAATATTCCTCAAGAATACAATCTTCCTGCTGGTTTACATATTCTTTATGGTATTTTATATATTGCATTTTTCATGATTTCCAAGAGATATCCAGCATTTTTTCAAGCTAAATACTCTTAGTTACAGACCTGAATGTGGAGGTGGCATTAGCATCTTGTTTCGATCTCCATGTGGCTGACCCGCAGGTATGGGTGATGGACCATGTAAGACTTGCTGTTGTCGATCACCTTCTCTGCTTAAACAATGCAGGTGTGAATTATTAATTCCAAATTAATAATTGTACAGAAACATTTCAAGCATTTAAGACAAAAATCACCTGATGCACACCCTCGGATATTTCTGAAATGTGGAAAATACCTGGTTTTACCAGATCACAGTTAATCATGTCAAAACTTACGTTAGAATGTTCTTAGAAACACAATTGTAATGTCACAAGACATTACAACATACATTTTGATAATCTGTTAATTATTTTAGCTGCTGTGTTTTTTTCTGCAAAATAGCAACTATTGTTGCATTCCATCTCTTTTGGCTTACTACTTACACTAAGAGAACATACAATAATTAGTGATTCTGGCAAAAGCTGTATTTAGTGATTCCAATGTTACAAAATGATGGATAACATGAGGAAAATGCAAGAGTATTATTATCTCTGCATTATATTTTTGCAAAGATAATAAAGTTTTATGTAAAGAAAAAGTCTATACAATTATTCAATCCGAAAATAAAAAGAAATAAAAAATTTGAAAGAACAAGATATATCCATCATTTATAAAGTTGCAGAACGTTTATGAATAAAGCAAAAAATTTCATAAACTTTCACATCAACTCAAACTATTTTCTCAAGAACTTCGCTAGTATAATTTATCAAGGGATATATCTGGATCTTACTAAATCAATGAATTTTGTCTGTAGTTATTATCTATGTTATAAAATTTTACGGAAAAATATTGTATATATATCTGTCTACAGATATATATCTCAATCAAAATATAAAAAAATATCTATTACCAAAATCTTATAAACTTGATTATATTTTTCTTTTCTGCACTTTTAATATTAATTATTGCAATACCTTATTAGATAATGCAAGAAGCAGGTTTCTGTAAGAATATGGTGCATAATTTATACAGTATATGACATATAGCTTACATTTTCTTCATGTCTAATTCTACAATTTAATAAATATTTACTATAAATGAAGCATAAGCAGTCTGAAGCGATTATTTCTTTATCAATTTTGTCTATTGATCAATTAGATAATATCAATTATGTAAGATGCATTTTCTTCACATTTTCTTTTCATAAAATTTTAATCCTCGATTAAACTTATTGCATGTTTATACTAATATTCTATACTAAATTTCTATTCTATACATTTTCAATTTTTTTTTCATAATATTGATTTAAAATTATTTCACTCTTGGTAAATCTGCTTTAGTAAACATACAAGTTTTTTTTCTCTACCAAGAGATACTCAACTATATAAAATTATTGCTAAAGTTACACATTAAATTATATACTCCTTGTATTATATACAGGTAGACTACATGATTTACATGTATACAAGGAGTATATAAGGTAACTTTATAACTTAATGTTATATTAATTTATACATTGTAATATCTCACGTTCTTTTTTCTTCTCTCTTTCTCTCTCTCTCTCTCTCTCTCTTTCTCTCTCCCTCTCTCTCTCTCTTTCTTTCTATATAAATAGAAGTAATTATATTTTGTTCGACTTACCCTGTGCCATGACGTTGCGCAGGTAGCGGAGCGCATTGGTATGATGGTGGTTCCTGAAATATATATTCAAGAAAAATCATTATATAAATATATAATAATTATTATTTTGTCATATAATCACGTATTTCGATTTGATATGAATATATTTGTGATACGCGATACTTTACCTGACTTCCTTCAACATCTGAAAACCTTCTTTTGACTCCATGCGATTTTTGTTGTTCTGGCGAATCGGGCTTCTGCTCAAATTGCTGATGTGGCGGTTGCATCGTATAATGTACTTGCGCCGGTATATGACCATTCTGATATTGTATATGTTGAGGATGATATTGTATTTGAGCTTGAACTTGCGGTGGAGGTACGTTATGAAGAGGTATGTTCTGCGGCGGCATTTGCATCTATAAATATTGAAAAATACACATCATATATGTTATGTAGCCTTTTCAGACATGAATCCTTTACAAGTCTGAAACTGATCAATTTTATTCTTTATAAATTACTTACTACTACTATGTTTAGTATTAGAACGCTAATCATGGCAATGAACGGTTAAAGGATACAAAACGAATGTCTAACCTGCAACTGTCCTTGTGGTTGCGGTATTTGTTGCGGTTGTTGAGTTTGATAGAGCCAAGGAGCGTTCTGCGGTGGAGGCGGTTGCGTCGGCGGCGGTACACTGGTAAGAATATTCATGGAATTCGGCATCTGACTGATTGATGGCGGCGGTACTATTTGCGGAGGTGGTACCGGTTGTGGCAACGGTCCCTGCTCCACCGGGCCCTCTTGCTGATGCTGCATCTCCCCGGCGGGAGGAAGAGGCGGTTGCGAATGATGTTGGGGCGACTGAGCATTAGGAACTAGAAAAGTTTGCGCGGACGGCGGAGGAGGTACTTGTAAGTGAAACGGTGGCGCGTGACCTTCGAATTGTGGAGGTATTATATGTTGGGCGACAGCTTGAGACTGCTCGTGATTCTGTTGTAGCTGAGGCGGGACGATATGCTCGCCAGGTTGCAAAACAAACTGAGTTTGTGCCTGTGACACGGGCGCCTGTACTTGTTGATATTGTATCTGATAGGTTTGCGGTACAGGAGGTGGTGGTTGATTCGGCGGAAAGTTCGGCGGCGGAAAGTGAAGATGCAGCAACGGCGGTGGTGGTTGCTGTGTTATATTGAGCGGCGCTGCGGGAGGAGGCTGTTGCAAGTTAACATTAACAGTTTCGATAATTCCCTGGGACGGCGTAGCGGGCCTTTGCATGTTCGGTTGCGTGTAAACGTATGATACTGCCCCGCTCACCGATGCGTTACTACTTGTTATGAAGCTTTGCTGCGCAGAACTTTGTGGTGGCGGTTGACTCATGACGTACATTTGAGCCATAGGCTGTGGCGAGGACTGTGATCCTTGAATTCCCTGGATTTGTAACGATTGGCCATGATGTATCTGATATTGAACTTGACTTACTGTCGATGGAGGACCGATTAACTGTACTTGTCCAACAGGTGGTGGTGGCATAAAAGTCTGTATTTCCTTCAATCAGAATATTCATTTATGTTGCAGGAATTATTTTCGAGTAATTTTATATAATAAAATGTCTATAATTCGAATTTAATCACACATACCTGAGCTTGTGAAGGTGGAACTAATGGTCCAGTATGAGATGGTATATGAACTCCTGGAGGAGGAACTGATACGCTAGGCCCCGGAGTACCAGCTACAGTAGCCGTAAGAATTGTTGCAGGCAACGTTACAACATTACTTTGTGGATGTTGTATAATATCTGCCAAATAAGATTCATTTAAAAAATATATATTTCTCATAAAAATATTAATAATGTATGATTCATATATCTTACCTTGGTGTTGTATTGCAACCACATTTGGTTGGCCTAAGGTACCAATGTTCATAGTTTGAAATTGGGCTATATAAACAGAAAAAATATTATAATATTAATTTCTATGGATACAGTTATTATAATTTTGAACATGGAAGGCAATAAAATATATACTTTGCGGTATTTGTGATTGTTCTATAACTTGCTGAGGTTGTACTGGTGGTGGCTGTTGTTGAATATAGGTCTGCAATTCAGATTGTATTGTCTGTATTAAATTAATAGCCAATTGTTTTGCATTTTGCAATGCTTCCGGTTTTGGATGCCTAAACAAGAATAATATATTATCAACAGCTTACCTTTATTTAATTAATAAATTGCTTAAAATTTCAGAAATACTTGCTCTATATACAAGTGAAGAGGTTCTGGAGATTCTGCTCCCAAAACTGGATCGATAAATTGGGATCCTCTACCTCTTAAAGTTACATTTGCTCCAGTTTCACCTCTAATATAAACTAAATTTGCATCACCAGCACCTAATATTCGTCCACGTAAATCAAAACCTTGTGGTGCATTCTCAATACCAACACAAATCTTTTCCTAGTAATTTATAGATGTCAATTAATATTGCTATATAAAAAAATTATAAATAAAATGTGAAATATGGATATTATTTACCACAGTTGTAATTCCGGAATGTAAACTCATAAGAGGTGGTGGAGCATTTGTAAATCTGCTTGGTCTATTTAAAGAACTTTGATGTTCTGTCTTAATAATTTCATTAATCTTTTGTATCGCCACTGTTAAATAAAATATTTAATATGATATATTTCTATCTTCAATAAATTTAAAGAAAAAAAGAATTATATACACAATACATACAATCAACATTATGTCTGGTATGTCCCTGTATATATAGGTACAATGGCCTTTCATTTGGACAGCGTAACTTTTCTTGTTCTGTCATAAAACGCCCACGTGTTGATACAGTTGCACCTAAATTAACATGATATAGAAAATTAATAGATTAGATTATTTAGATTAAAGGATAAATATAACAAAAATATATAACAAAAATTTATATATATATATATATATATCAATTATATATGTCAATATAATCAAAATATACCTGAATACGAATTAATTTCATCTTGTGTATAACCCTTGGTAAGCAAAGTTCTCGCACTAGGCGGTGTTTCGTTAATCTCAAATTCCCATGTATATGTCTCTCCATTTTTAAACGCTGCATTTGATGCTGCTATCTAATTGCAAAAATTACCACACATATTAATTGTGAGAAAAATACAACTATGGGAAAATACAAATTATACACATGTACATGCACACACAATATATACATGTACCTTATTGTTAGAATCAGAACCTTTTATTTTTCCCTTAGCCATAGAGATAAAATGTATACTACTGAAGTGTAATATAACAATTTTTATGACCCCATCTTCATAAGCTGTAAATTTAAATCAGAAGTAAACCATATGGAATAATGATGCCAGACAGAAAAAGGTACATGTAACAATTTTTCTCAACATACGTGCCACAAAGTTTTATCAAACATCATAGCTCAGAATCACTGAAGCATCAGGTTATGCTTCAATAAAAAGATTGACGCACAATCTCACATGCGCTCTTTCTATAAAATGACTTTTTACTCTTAAGTGTCGGAATTGCATTAAAATTTACAGGATAGTCGCATTTTTTATCACCTATCGATGATTAAATATTTTTTTTACAAAACAAAATAGATTCACTCGATTTTGCAAACCACTCGATCGTAACTAATATACCATTGAACAACACAAATTGACATACATACTATTACTCGACACTGCAACTGCAACCGACACTGCAATTGTTGCGATAATGCGCACGACGACATCAAGCTTACACGCCATGACGACGATGAAATGTACTAGGATGAAAACCAACCGTAGGTAAAATCTCGTATCTATTGAATATTGGATTTTTTTAAAAATATTATTTTCGTGAACGAAATGAAATAAATAATGTGTATCTCATTCATTTCGAATAATATAAACATTTTATAAAATACGATATATAATTCTATAATAAGAATGAAATACATTAGGATGATATTGATGTTATATGAAAAAATGTTTTGTGTGTGGAATAAATCTATTTAATTATTTAACATTTTACATGTATATTATCTAAATTTATAATTAAATATAATCACAAATAAGATTATATGCGCTATTTCATTTCGAAAAACAGTATCAAGTTGACACACTTATAAAGTACTCTTATCTCTAAAAATGCTAAGGATAACAATATGTTATCTCGTTAGCTAGCACCATTCATTATTAACAAAAATTGAAATAAATCCAAATATATTTTCTTGAATCATGAAAGAAATACAATTTTATTAAAATTGAAATAACTTATCGAATAAATAACAATATTATACTTTGTCAGAGAATTGTAAAGTGGTTTAAAGTGGTGTTTTATATTACTTTTGTTCGACTACTTTTCGTAGTTAGTTTTAACAATCAAATTCTCTCAGATTCTACATTTATATTTGTGACTACCAAAATACTAATTTTTACTAAAAAATACTCCACATACTTTAGGCTTTATTGCATTAATTACTTTTGCATTGAAGTGCTATACACATTTAACTCGTTAGAATTTCAAATTATTGTTATATATATTCCAAACGAGAAATATTTAGGCGAGAGTATGCACAATGGTCAATCTCCCACTTGTACTTAATCATTATTTTTTAAACATTGTTATACTATATTTTTGGTTTCTGTAGATCTCAATTAAAATAATAAAAAAATAAATTGTATATTTCTAATTCTAAACATTGATCTTGTTTTTATAATTAATTAATATGTCATTTTTATATAGTTAACACATCATCTCTACAGCTGATACATTGAAATAATTTTAACATTTAATTTTCGAAAAACATATAATATGATGTGATATATGCATATAATATCATATGTACATGATATTTGCTAAAAAAATCAAATGCATATTTTATTATTAATATATTGCAAATATCATCATAAAACTTGCATTTTTTTCAATATTGTATTTATTAATCAGTAAAATCAAGAGATAAACCTATTAAATTATGGAAAATCTTGGGTTAACTCCTTTGGCATGCCAGTATGTGACTCACTTAAATCAAAGTACTTTAAATGATCACAAGATATATAATTGACAAAACCCGGCATATATATCGAATATAATTTATCTCTGATAGCCAATCAAGCAAACATGAGGAATGTCATTATTACATAAAAGATATTACGTGTAAAAGATAAGCTCGGGTATTTGACCTTCATCAGTGGATGTACCATTGTTATCTCCCAATTCGCTACTAAATTCGAATTTTACTTTCGTATTTCCTGAATCACAATCCACCAATACTGTTCTTAATCCTTTTGTGCCATAATATGAGCATGGCCCCTGAAATAAATAAATAAATAAATATATATATATATATATATATATATTGTATTTTTTATAAAATTATATAAATAATAATAAATAAATCAGAAAGTGAAACCTTAAAGGTTGCTGATGCTGTATAAATCGTATTTGGTAAGATTTCCGCTAACTCTTTAAACATTAGACGGTATGTGTACTTTGATCCATCACAGCTAAAACTTGTTGCATTTGTGGCTATCACTTTTCCCGATGCAGTATGAATTAATTCCACTGATACTTCATATATCGCTGGTTCATGTGTGCTACCATAAACTCCATAGCCAATAAGAAAAATACGTCTGTCCACACTAAATCTGCAAAAATTAAAATATTTCATATATATATCCGGCATTCTGAAAGCATTGTGAACTGTGCTATAATAGAATTTAAATGTAATTACCGAATACGATCACTAGTTCCAAAATATCCCCATCTACTTTTGGTATGCTGAAATCTGCACACAGTCTGTTCCTTGCCTGTCATACAACATCTTGGCATTGTTTGAAATCCCACTGAAGGTTTGGGATTCAATATAAAATATGAAAATAAAGATAAGACCTATAAGATATTTATTTATTAAATATCATGTACACATAATATAGCTTTTCTAAAATTTATAAACTCTTTCAAAAATGTAATGAGAAAATTTATAAAAAAGATATTTAAGAAGTATTGTAATACGAGCCTCTGAATAATTTAATAAGCCAGATTGTGCCGGACCTGCTGTAAATTCTTCTTTTGACATAAGTGGAAAACGAACTAAAGACAGAGCGTTACCTAAGACGAGGCGTTGATTTTCCGGAGTAACTGGTAATTGCTGTCTTACACATTCAGCCTCTGACCACCTATATAAAAATTTAAACAATATAGAGAATAAAAAAAAACATTCTACAATATAACATATTCTACAATGTATATACCTTAGAACAGCCTGAAATAGTTTAGATTCTCTAACATGAAGTGTATCTCTTTCCAAGACTATCATCAATGTATCAATATCAATGTCTGTGAATCCATCTGCATTGAGGGCCTGAGTTGTGAATCTGTCAATTGTATCCAAACATACCGAGGCTAACTGCGGTTCATCAAACAGACGAGCTTGCGTTAGTAGCAAGAAAGCATTATCACTGGTCAAATTATTTTTTAAAAAATCAACGCAATGCTTTTCTAAAGCAGATACTGCATATTTCTTAGCGGTATACAATGTTGTCATCACAGTTTCAGGATCTATCTGTATCTCATCAGTATATAGAAAAAGGAGCACTGCTAAAAATGCAGCAGGCTCTACATCAGGTACTTCTATTTCTGAAGAAGCTGTAGCAAGCGTTCCATTAAACATTGCGTCAAATACAGCGCTTCCAGAAGACAGGACTAGTTTGTGAGCTGGTATACGTTGTTGCTGCGCTCCTCTTCCCACCAGAAAAGTCACATCTGACAGTATTTCATTATTAAAGAGAAATACAATCCTTTCGCGCATCGTTGCCTTTGTACCTTGCCAATTGTACGTAACTGCAGATTGATTTTGCGTAGAAGAGTTTTCTAAAGTGATAGTATTCTGCGGTCGCCCTTCCAAATACGATGTGTTCGCTGCGTTAATAGGTGGTCGACTGAAAAATTTAAGATTACAACAGTTATCAGAATATCAAACGATGAATATCATCCATTTCATCAAAGATCACAACAATAAATAATACAATATTTGAAAAATTTTTTTTTATACAAACAATAATCAGCTGTCTTGCCCTAAGTAAGCCTGACGTTTGACATTGCGAAACTGTGCTATTTACTTATCGCCGTTCGAGTACGAGGCCTCGCTTCGCGCCACAGACGAGCTCGTCGTCGGCTGGTCCTCGTCGCCGACGAAGTTGAGCGCTCGCCGCGCCCGGGAGAGGGTGATGTTCCGCAGCGGTTCCCGCAGAACGGACCCGCTGGCCCCGGTGGCCGTCGAACTGCCAGCCGTAGCGTTCTCCGTCACGTCTTCGTCCTCGCCGTGCGATGCCAACCGCAGACCTTGCAGTCTCGACGCGACGTTCGGCACGTCGTTCAGGGTGGTCTCCGTAGACATGGTGTTCCCACACGAGACGTAGTACTTGCCCAGGTACTGCCCCGTCTCATTTAATCGCGTCGCAATCGGCGGCCCCTGCGCGTTTGGCGAGCGCGAGTCTTATCCTCCGTCTTATCTCGCGGTCGCGATCCTCCTTGGAGCGGATCCTCGCTGTCAGCGTGAAGACACCAAGAAACTACGGGACGCACTACAACGACATCTCACCGAATTCCTACCCTCGTCCTTGCCGCAATCCGTTTGCTCCCAAGACCACGCGCGAAGAGATTGGAAGGGATAAATTGTCGGCACGAGCGGCATCGACGACGAAATGTACCCGCGAAATCTGCGTGCGCCAAATATGTAATTAGCCGCGTCGATTATATCTCTCATAATTCACGCTTTCATATCTCGATCGTTTTCTAATATTTACTAAATTATATTCAACTTGGACATTTTTATCGTGCACTCTTCGTATTTATTTCTTTTTCGTTTCGAAAAAAAATTACGTTCGCATTTCATATTACTCGAGTGCAGAGAGTGCAGCACCGGTGAACGGATTGACGTTGGTCGCGAGTAATCGATCGTCTCGAGACTTCGAGAATCGTAACATCGCGTGAATTCGAATTGCCGCCATTCCCGAAACGCGCCGCAAACCGCAAGTCGTATCTCCGAGTCGCGCTCCGCATTTTTCGGGATGTATTCGTATCTAAAAGTGAATCTCGCGCGCGATAAATTATTTAAAGTATCTTACAAAGTGCTCTGTTGTAACGTACACGTTGTGCACAACTATTAATATCGCGATTTCGGTATCTCCGATCGGATTCTACGCGCCTGATATACATCGTTAGGAACACCGCCATGTTTCTCGTCGAAGTGCATCGAAATTTGCAAGTATGTGTGAATTATATATTATTTTCTAATTGCTACAGAAATATACTTTCTGTATATAATTCTTTATTTCGACTATTTTTAATATCTATTGAAATATAACCTTAAACTTTACTTTTCTTTCTATTATATATTATATATTGTTTGAGAGAGAGAGAGAGAGAGAGAGAGAGAGAAGAGAGAGAGAATTTACTTTATCTTGATATTTTAATATTATTTCGTAAATTCACAAATATTGAATGAATTACTGCATTCTCTTTATTAGCTATTTTTAATATTAAAATATGTTTTTATGTATAATTATAAAATATTTAGAATTTTTTTTTGTTTCTATCTTAAATAATGATCGCATTAATTCACATCATATTAATAGTTATTTTGAGAATTATAATAATGCAGTTAATTTTACAAAAATTCACCAAACAATTCACTTTTCTTTCTTTCTCTCTTCTCCTTCCTCTCTCTCTCTTTCTCTTTTAAGACTGTGATTAAATAATACTAGAATAATATTAGAATAAAATAAAAAGCAAGTTGAAATAGTAACAAAAAAGATTTTTCAAAATAGAAAATTTTACCTATGAAATCTTTTTAGTAAAAAAAATTTATTTTTCTCTTCTTGTTCAACTGTTTTAATTAAAAGAAATCATATATCATAGGAAGGAAGATATATTTTATAGACTGATTAAATCAAATTTTATAACAAGTGTATTAATGATGTTTATGTACAATGTTTACAATATACGGTGATACAGAAAACACGTCCGTATGTTTACGATGTTACGTATGATACAACAAATATTATCAATTCAAAGTCATTCAAACTATTATGTATGGCAGTTACGATGAGAAATATGTGTCGGAAATATTATAGTTAAAAAAACATTACTATAAAACGTACATAAACATTGTGATATAAAACAGTAAATTGCTTATTTTCCATAAAAATATATACATTAAAGATTTCTCAGAAAATTAATGTATTAATATAGGATTATTTTTTGCCAGTACATATAAATTAAAAATATAGATCTCTACAAATATACATCACAATAATGCATAGAGTGATGAAAATATAGTGCAAGAAAATTACACGAGCAAAATAAGGGAAATATTTTATCTATTTCTTTTATGTATCCAATTGAATCAATTTCTTTATTTTATATGCATCGTATAATGTGCAATGAAAATTTGCAGAGGAAAAAACTTAATAGTTTTATAAGTATTTCTCCGCATCTCTTACAATAATCAGATTTATCAATAATTGTCATGGCTGAATGTTGGCACATCTTCTACTCTCATTCTACTCTCATTCTAATCAGCTCTTTTTATATATCTTATTAGTTTAAATGTGTGTATGTATGTATATGTGTACTTTACACCATGTTAATTAAATAATATTTTAGTAGACTATAATTCACATTATTTTAACGCAAATTGCATTACAGATCTATACATAAACATAGCGAGTTAGAGATACTAATCAAAATACTATCTGTTCTATTATAACTATTAATACTATATATTAAATTATCGAGTATGAATTACCAAGTACATACAAAATTGTAATATACAGAAAAAGAAGAATATAGAATGAAAACTGGCCGCTCGTAAAATGAAAATTAAATTTAATAAACTAAAGTAATTAAATTAAGTGAAGCGCATCGAAACATACTCTTATAATATTAAAAATTAATGAAACTATCTTGACATTATCCTGAAATATTGCATTTGAATCGACACATCAACTTGAATCGATCAACTACTATATTCGTTGTGTCTCTACATTCAACAATGATCTCTACAATGATCAATTTATTGCTATAATATCGTTTTAATATTGGCAAGTGATTTGACACGAAAATAGTACTTATGTTTAATTCGCGAAAATTTTTCTATCAAAAGAATTATGATAATAAATATAGGAAGAAATATTTAAAATACGAGAGAGGTTCTCGTAAACGAAGCACCAAGGAGTAGAAATCTATTAATTGATGGCAAACGCGTCATTTACAAAACGACGCGTTTTACGCGACAATGTCTAATAAATTAATTATGTACTTAATTGTCATCAGAAAATCGATGATACAATTGTTGGTAACGTTTTCATTGCGTCCTGTTATCTGACCAACATTGATACTCTTCATGCATATATCCTTGTCTTCTGTGTCTCGCATTCGTTCACGTATATCCTCCCGAGTCAGTAACACAATTACACGTATAATGTATTGTCATTAAGACGCGAATCGATACTTTCACGTCTCAAAGTCCAATTCTTGGTCCCTTTGTTGACGATGTTTGCTCTTTGCTCTCCTCGGCTTGGTCGCCCCACTTTTCTTCTTTCTCGGCTTCGGCATGATCTCGCAGCTGCAGCCGCTTCGCACCCTGATATAATCCAACGTATACCTGGATCCGCTCACGCTGTTGCCGGTAAACGCTGGAAAATGATGGAATTGCTTATGATGATGCCTTCTGTGCTCCTCCATTTCAATCTGCAATAGGAGAATTACATTAATTACACGATACCTCCTAATTCCACTCAATTATACACATTAAAATCTCTCTTAACGATCATTTATCGTTATATACATCGTTTTAAATAGATTGATCTTGTAATCGTAAAAATATTAAAATATCGCATCTTTTTATATAATAAAAAATCTATTATTCGTTTAATAATAAAATTATGATAGAGAACTTGCACGATTCGCGAATATATCATACCTTCCCTCCAGAATTCGCGACAAGAGCGTACGTATACGAGAACTGTTGCACGCATCTGGACTGGTTACTGAGCTTCCGGTCGATGAACCTGCATGGCTTATCGAGAACGTCTGGTCTGCAAGAATGCTCGAAGAACCTCTGAACGTTCTCGCCGTCCCGATAGAGCTCGACGTACATGTCTTGTCGAGTTCGACCGCCGATCGGTTCCACCATTTCTAGTATCACAGGACAACAGTGGACGGGGTGACCGTCCTCGCCTCCTTCCTGTTGCAGAATCATCTGCATCTCTCGATATGTCATCCGCTTTGTCGGTTCCACTGGTCTGCAATGGCAGAATGTTTCTCCTGTTTAATCGATTTTTATTTTGAATCAATTCTCTTGCAATCAAGCGTCTCTTTTCACTTTATTAATTTTCTTCGGAATTGCAGGCAAAAAGCATATGTTCTTTGTGGAATTTTTCTCGAGTCAAATTCTAATCGTTGCCGAAGAACACGTACGATTATCGTGTTAACAAGCGAGTTAATGGAAAATATATGTAAAAATAAAATAAAAAATAAAATTATGCTTCGTGTTACGCCATGCTGAGTCCTGTTGAATTTAAATCGGATTTAGCTCGCCAACGGAGGAAACGATATTCTTGCCATATTGACCGCGCCCGTATCTAAATTACGCGGTAGAATGTTGTAGCGATTCAAAAAAGTTTCGCAAGACATGATATTTTATTCGTTTCGTATATATTATTAGCACATTTTACATTTTACGTACAGCAATGATAATAATTAAGATAAGCATACTGAAAACGATCAAATAAAAGTCAAACGAAGGGTTCATCGCATTTCTACGCGTTTCGCACACAATCAATCATTATTTGCAAGTAATATCGAATAAGAGAACCACGATTATAAAAAAAAATATTAAAAAAGGTAACACATCTTACTTGAAAATTGTAAAAATTGACAAAGATTAATTTTGATTTTTGCTCAAGAATCTGTCTATTAGAACGGACAAAGCAAATTTAATAATGACAATTATTTCCTCGTTTTATCGAAAAATCTTTATACTTACTTGTTAGGGAAATGTCCTCTGAAAGGCTGTTCCCTGGGCCTTCGAGAGGAGGAGGCTAAAGTCAGATTGTTGGCGGCAGTAAGCCGCGGGCACAGAACTGCGGTCAGCCAAACCACCTGCAACGAGAATCATGAGAACGCATAAATTATTCGCTCACATGTTTGACATTTGATGAATCTCTGTGATTTCACAAATTAAAATATAAATGCAGCAATAATTAATAATGTAAAGAATAATAATAATGCAAGAAAACTTTCATCATCTATCTATGATTGATTGTAGAAAAATTTTTCCATCAAATCTGACGACAAAACCGAGTAAATATATTTCCATTACAATAGCTATATCTTAATCCCGCAAAAGATTATTTGACGCGACGCGAACGAGTCTGTCACGCCTGTCGCTCACCGGCAGAGACGCATGATTTCACAATAAGTATCTTACCAGTATTGTCAGTTGAAAAAATTGCCTTGATAATAATGTCGGCGAAGATTCGCGCGTGAGAAAATACCGGACGGGGCTGGTGCGCGAGAACGAAACACGGCGCGCAAATGAAACACGGCGTTAGTCACGCATCTCGCCCGAATCCGCGGCACACGTGAACGGCACGGCTTACGTGGAGGTGAAAACATTAATTCGGCTTATAATTTTTATGCAAAACAGGCCTCACGGCGCCGCCGCCGCCGCCGTCGTCACCGTCGTCGTCGTCGTCGCCGCTCGCTGCTCGTTAATACTTAAGCGTGCCTCTTTCTCGCACGATGCAGCACACTTTCGATTTAATTGCGCCGTATAACTCGTCATCGCAGGAAACACGCGGAACCGGCTTGCTTCATTCACCGGGCTAAATTTCTTTTTTTTTCTTTATTTTAAAATGAGAAGATTCTCTCAAGATTCGCGTAAAGTGTAATATTTACAGCTGTAAAAAAGATGGAAAGGAGGAGCGGTATCGATAAATAACTACAGAGGTGCAAATATTTCACAAATGGATTCTTTCCACAGTTAATTTTGAACGAAAAATATCGTATCGACACAGAGATTTCCGCTCATAATTTATAGAAATATGTATAAAATGCGTTATCAAGTATCCCCCCGATAATTTCTCCAGTTGTTTCTCACGTTAGGAATACTATCAAACGATAGAACGAAAACTTGTTGGTTGCGAGGTTTATATAAACGAGACAACATGATATAAAGCCGACATCGCCGACGTTTAATTAAGCCATCGTTTCTCCGGGTGAACAGTTAACTAAGCAGCGGCGCCTCCCATACGAAGAACTCGTATTGGACAGAACTGCGCATTCGGATTAAACGGATGTTTAATCATACATCGAGACCACACATCGCGTATCCCGCGATTCTTATCGAATTCTTGCATCATACGGGGAAAGAATTCTCTCTCTTGCAGTGCGATTTTAATCGTATAAAGATGTACCGGGTATGCGGTGGCGGACATTACAACACGACTTAACGATACTTCGCGTTAATTGCTCGCTAATCAAGATAATGATCATTATTGCGATGCGACCAAATTGTCCGATCATGTACACGAGTGTCTATGAACACATCCGGTATCAAAATTGGATAAGTATCTAAACGTTAATAAATTATATCATCTATATACACTTAACACCATATATTTAATTAAAGCTATTTGCAAAAATTGATATTTTATTTGCTCTGTCTTAATCTCTCTTGGGTCTTATTAGATATATACAGCTGCTTATAGTGACAATAATTTCACTCGTCGAAACATTTTAAGAAAATTATTTATATTTAACTTAAAAAAATATATTATAATAGTAATAATATTTTGATTATTCGTGCAATTATCGTGAAAATTATTTGTGCAATTGGTTGGAATAATTTTTTTTCGTTTTTAATTGCGATGTTCAATTTAAAAATGTATTTATATAATACTGAAAATTTTCACATAGATAACTATATCAATGCGCAATAAAGATTACTTCTCGTACGCGAAATCACGGTCGCAAGATTTCACGGCGAAATCACGGTCGCAAGATTTCACGGCGATGCTCCTAAAGATATAAAGTTAAGCCGTTACTTCGATGTCATGCCCGGGCCAAGAAGCGTCAATTAGCGCCACGGATTCTTCTCTCCCTTTTCTCACATTCCTTACGATAATGAAACGAATGTTTTTTGCGAAAGTTGAAATTAGCCGATCGTTTCTCAAGCCGAAAAAATACGATGAGATAATCCCGGATATATTTCGGCTGACCAAACGCACTCTCGTAATCCTGTTTCAATCGTCAAGCGATCATTGTTCGCCTTCGCAATTTTATTTAATGATAGTACGATAACTATCTCCGTTCCAATAATTTTCAATCGGCGAATAAAGGTTTATTGTCATGCAAAAGTTGTTTGAGTTACGCATAAATTACAAATTCGTTTCGCCTTTACGAGAGTACGCTGTATATATTTTTATACAGAAGGAATTCGTACATTGATTACCGGAAAAATATAAACCGGTCTATTACACGCCTTCACATCAGTAAAGTTAAGTTGGAGATGACGTTTTTATTGCTTCTTTACGTTCCAGGCACTTTTCCTTTTCCCTATAAATAATTTATGTACATTCTGATTTACATTTCGAATCTCAACCGTACCTTTTATCTGAAAACGTTTACCGATCACTCTGTATCAATCAGTAACAATTACCAATGATATCCTGTCTCCCCGCCATTTGTCTGATTGTCAGAATATCTAATAAGACCCAAGAGGGATTAAGACAGAGACAGAGATACTTTCACGTTCGTATCGTTAGCATAATTAATCACAATCGCGTTGACCCGATAATACACGATCGCTCCAATCACACTTAATTCCAAAAGTTACTTAAGTTATTCAGGATGACGATAAGACATTCGCCTCTCTTATCGCGGTTGTCTTCACCGTCATAGTGTATCAAGAGAGGTGGAGGATATCTCTCCCACGTGGAAGCGGCGGAAATAATTTGTGGCGCAATTACGGTCCCATAACGCATCGACGATGACGGCGAAGCTGGCGGTCGGTCCGATGGCGGGGCCCAACTAGCTCCCCAGCTCTTCGTATCTCATGCCTCCCGGAATGCATTCTGGGTCTGAGAGACTTGCGATATACGTATAGTTACGATATACTCTGGGTATACCGATAACGTGTTCGGGGAATCGTGGAGACCGGTATCCGGATGAGGACGCTGCTTATCGACCAGCCGTGTTTATGTCGCCACGTGGGTGCCCGCCTGAGTCCCGTTCTTTCTCTGTCTCTCTCTCTCTCTCCTCTTGTAGGCTGCGTAGGTCCGAAAAATCGATCGATCTCATGTGTATATGCATGTATAGACACGAAGTCATCGGAGACTATCTCTCAGTAATTACCTTAATCATCTCTCGAGATGCGTAGTTAAAGTAGAACTATCAGAAAAGGACTATCGAAAGTAGAATTATCAAAAAAGGACTCTCGGAAAATGTATGTAAGAAGAATTATCGCACTGAGAAAAAAATCTGGTTGCATTAATTAGAATTCTGGTAGATTCAACCAGTATGTCTGTTGGAAAATGGACGAACTAGAATTCTTGTAGGAATTACCAGATGAATCTAATTAATTTCTTCCTGTTAAATTTACCAAATTTTCTGGTTAATAATAACTAAACTCGCCAGCACCAAGTCGTCTAAAATTTTTTCCATCCAATCTCAAAAGTCTGTTTAATATTCTGAATTCCCACAAGATTATTGGATAAATTCAATCCAGATTATTGAATAAATTATTTTAAATTTAATTTATTAGAAATTAAATTGATAAACAGTGCTGCAAGAAGAGGATGCAGCTCAAACACATACAATCAGAGAGTTAGCGTCCTCTTTCTGGCACTACTGCTCATAAAAGAAAAAAAATATACTTTGGATTTAATGTTAATACTAGATCTTTATATACATTTCATGGCAAATATTGAATACGAGTTAAGTTAAGAGTGGCAAGCAAAGAAATTAATGTAACAAGAAATTTTATAGATCCAACCAGAAAATACAAACCAAATCCTTATAGTAAAATTTATTAAATGTTCTAGTTATAAAAAATCGAGTCTTATCACGATAACTAGAAATTCTTGTTTGATTTAACCAAAATGCCTTCAATCATATATGTCTTGTTGATACAATCAAACGATTTTTCTCAGTGTAGAATTATCAAAAAAGGACTATCGGAAAATGTATGTAAGAAATAGAATTATCGGAAAGGAAAAATATGTGAAACTTCGATCAAGGTAACTATGAAGAGATGAGATACAGGAAGTATTTTGTATAATTGTTTAGTGACATTAAAAACAGTGACTTTCTCCGATAATTCATCGATCCAAGCAGGATTATTAATTCTTGCAACGAGAAACGCGAGTAAACGCTTAATTAAAACCTCGGCGTTTCCCAATAGCGTATATAATCGGCGCGCGTTATTTATCGCTACCGGTGGTGAGATTTACAGGATACACCGTGCTGATCTAGGCAAAGGTGTTATTATATTTAAAGGCATACGCGGGGGTACCAGAAATACCAGAGAGATTACCGATCGTAAAATACACACACGCGTAATAAAAGAATGATAGCGCGCGAAATGGCGAACGCAAATTCGTGGGGAAAAAATCGCGACTGCGAGAAACCGCGGTAAAAATCCGCGATCCTTCTACGGCGACCGGAGGCGGCAGTTAACGCGCGTACAAACGTAATCCAGCGGGCATTCTCTTTCCAGCCATTGGCCGCGACTTTTTCACCTTCGGTTACCGCGGGTGCCGCGATTGGAGAAACGCGTGCCGATAATTTATGAGCCTGCTCGAGTGTGGCCGGTGCGGTTTCCCGTTCGCAGAAACTATAGCGTTTATGTAGTGTGACGCCTGTCGTCGCCTGCATCCGAGATGTCCGCTACGTCGTAAAGAATGAAATATCGTCTCGTGTCTCTATCATTAATAAGCCATTGATTTGAATATCAATTCCGAGTGACGAAAGAATCTCTCTTTCGAAACGCGCGCGGGAAAACGCCACGTCCCACTTCGATCGTGGCTCGATTATGCGAAATATCGGGATACGACGTAAGTGGAGGATTGCCTTTATTACAGTGAAAAAATATCGACGAT